GGTTTTGTGCAGCTGCAGGAAGGAGCTCATTTAACCCCAGCCAGGCACCTGACAGTGTGAAGGGAGAGGCCACTTGTGCTCCGAGCACTCTTCTAGCAAGTGGAATTTCTGGAGGAAGGATTGCACCTTGGTTGCTGTAGGTTTTGTGAGCGGCAGCCACAGGGGATGGGAGCTGACAGCACATTGTTAGGGCAGAGGGACACGGGACAAATGGATGTCTGGCTGAGCTCGTGAAGGCTGTTGCTGAGTGGGGAGGAAGCAAAACATCTTTTTGCCTTACTGGCATTTTAAGGAAGGAGAGGAGAGGCAGGGAATGACAGAGCATCCCCTTGCGCGATGTATTTGTTCTGTTACAAATGTCAGCAGTGCCTCGCTACAAACTTCAGTCCAAGTTTAATGAACTTCTGGCTGTGTTTGCATGTTCTGCAACCAGGGAAAAATATGTCTAGCTGCAATTTTCAATCTCAGTCATTGAAGTAGCAAGATGTGAGCTCTGTTTCTGAGAGCTCAGGACACTTAGATGCCCATGACAGACATGCTAGAAACCCACGCCAGGTAAGAGGTAGGGCGCTGGTTTGTTTTCAGTGTGTTCTCTTGAAAAGAATTGGGCAGAGTCCAGTGCTGACCTCAGTCTCTTTGTGGGCTAAATTAATGTCTTTATTCTGCTTGGCAGTGTGGGCCAAGAAGAATTTTAAAATGAATGCAAGAATTTGTGGTGTGCAAGATGTCTGAGAGTACACTCAGTTGTTTTTGTGTTTCATCAGTGTGGTGTTACAAATGGGCCTGTGTAACACAGAGGAGAGAGCCCGTGAGCCCTCTCTGGCTGACAGTGTGAAGGGTGTAGCAGGAGGGGCTGTGCTGGGGCCCTTGTAAGTGAGGGAATATCCATCTTGTGCTGTTGTTGGAAGTAATTATCAATCTGTTTTCATTTGAAGAAAGAAAAGCCCAGTAGATGCCATTTCATGTTTAAAATGTGAAGCTTAGATGTAATAAATTAGTGTCCTGCTGCTACTGGTGTACAGAGGAGTCACGAGCTTTGAAATAGGAACTCACCCAAACTGAGTGTCAGTGGCTGTACAAAAAAAAGTATGTTATGCTGGAAGGTGAGTTTTAGGCTTTATGGTACTATAGTCCTAAGAGGAAATCTCTTCCATCCGTTTTGATGTAGGAAGGGGAAAAAAAAATCCTGTCTTCTACTCTGGGCATAGTCCAGCCTCAAGTTTGCTGCTTTAACAGGAGGAATTATTTTTGGAAAGAAATAAAAAATGCATGGGGAGCTCTCACACCTTCACTGTGAACATGTCTTTTTGACTCAAGGCCAGGCTGGGCAGAACTTCGTGTTTTGTTGAGAATTAGGACTCCAACCTCACATGCTGGGCTCTGCACTCTGCTTTTGTTCTGTTGCTTCTTAACAGGCTTCAGGCAGAGTCTTTTGTCTCTCTAGACTCTTCTGTACCTGTAAGTTGGAGACAATGACAGCTCACTCAGTGGTGATGTTGGGAAAAAAATTGTGAAGGCTCCTTGAGCTGGTGGCAGCACAGCTCCACATCTGTCACGGCTTATGGGCAGAGTGGTGACCTGCCAATGGGAGACTTGCTTGCAACTGTGGAGGTCTGGCCTAGTAGGAAGCTGGAAGCAAGCAGAGCAGAAACAGTGGCTCAAATAAACACTTACAGGTGGTTGTAGGGCAGTGGAAGAGCTGCTGGCTCTAAGGCATCTTGCTGGGCTTCCCAGAGAGCTTGCCAGGCAGGGATAAGCAAGAAAGCTGAGACCTGAGTGTTTTCCAAAAGAGAACGTGGGCAGGGCCTCATGCTGGGAAGGTGGGAGTTGATGGGAGCTGTTCAGAGAGAGCAAATTCCCTCATGTGACCCTGGAGAGTGCCTTGAAAAGCATGGACTGCCTTGGCTGTGGGCAAGGGAGGAGACTCTTCACCTAAGCTCCTCTTCTCCAGGTGCTTTTTATTGCTACAGTATGGAATTAACTAGATGAGGTTTAAGTGGATTCTTTGGGTCTTCCCTGTTCACTGCAGATTTCTAAAGGGCAGTTTTAGTCTCTGTGGTGGGTAAGTGGGGCTGACCTCAGAGTCCTGCAGCCAAAGGCTCAGTCTGAGCAGCAGAGGAGCGGGACTGTGTGCCAGGAGGGGTGAAAGCACAAGGTCTGGCACTGGAGGAACTCACTTGGAGGGAGAGGAGGCAGGAAGGATGTAAGTGTGTATTTAGGCCAGCTTCAAGGAAAGCTGCAAAGAGGCATTGGCATTTATATACAGGAGTTAACATGTAGCTTTTTTAATATTTTTTTTTTTTAATTCCTAGTTAAAAAGACCAGGTGCAGTCTGACTAAAAATTGACCTTTCCTCACAACTACTCAAGTTCAGCCCTTGTTGTGTTGCTGGCTGTACAGCTGCCATGGTCTCCTGCAGCAGGCCAACTGGAATACCAGGTGTAGG